CGCCCGCCGCGGGCTGCGGGCTCCGCCGCTAGGGGGCGCAGCCGGCGCCCGAGCCGGGAGGCGACGCTCTACTTGGCTGGGAGCCGGATTCGTGGGCAGGGAACCTCCGAAAACAAATGGAAAAGGGACGGCAACTCTGCATTTTATTCCCGCCTTCCCTACATCTGTGTGTTCCTCCTTCTCTCCCTTCCTTACCTCCCTCGCCCCCGTTCACCCCGGAAAACTAGGTTTTTGTTGTTGTTGTTTTGTTTTGTTTCACTCTTGCATTAAAGTGGAAAATGGAGTGGAGAGGGGAGGAGGGTGAATTATTACAAAAAAATCCCAATCTTCTAATCTTTATTTACTATGTGGAGCTGAGAGCAGTGACTGCAAAAAGCCTAAGTGGGGGTTAATCCCTTATAATGGTTTTACCATGGATGTTAAAGTGCAGGCAGAAATGTCGGAAGGTCTGTTACAATCAAATGTCATGATTACTTATTTAACTGCATGAGCTACATGCAGTTTGAAGAATTTTTTAAAATTAAAATCTGATTTCAGTTCCCAAGACGAATAAAGGACTATATCTAACATGATTGTTTTCTTCTTTCATCGCCTCAGTATTTGACTCATAGGAGATGCTTAACAAAGGTGTATGGAGGAGGGGACAGTGCCAGGAGGAAACAGCTCTGTTTGTTCCTAGTTTCCAATCCTGATCATCTCTTCGTTAATCTCTCCATCTCCCTTTCAACTAGAGCAAGAGAAATGGCTTACGTTTTATTGGTCTTTAGTGAGGAGTATACTGTGCCACAAAGTAGTTTCTTCAAACATTAGCATAATAATGTAGATGAACCTTATCTATTAAAAGTTAAAATACACAGATTTTAATGTTTTTTTAATTCAATGCTTTAGGATTCCTTCTCTTTGAACACACCAGAAAAGCACTAGATTTGTGATAACATTTTTTATAAGTAACACATTATTCTTTGGAGCATTACAAACTACATTTAATTCATTGATCCTTATAAGCCATATCCACAGAAAATGTTACACCAATTTTGAAGTTATAGCACCTGAGGCAGAGAGAACCTAATGGGCCAATGAAAGAACACAAATATTGCCAAAGGCCTAAGACTTTGACACTGTGTTTGTAATAAGCATCTTCATGCAATCTTCTTATTTATTTTGTACAAGGCAGCTGGAAGTTGTACAAAACAACAACAAACACCTCAAGTATTTGTAATTCTAAGCAAAAGCCTGAGGTTCTTTCCAATATCAGAAGCTTTGTGGTTTTTAGAGCAGTGCTGTCCTGTAAAAATGTGCGATTTACCTAATTTAAATATTCTAATAGCCACATTTAAAAAAGTGAAAATGAAATAGGTAACACTTTATTTCTATAATATATTTTACTTAGCCCAATATCGCCAAACTATTACCATTTCAACATGCAATCAATATGAAAATGTATTAATGATGTAATTTTTATATTTTTTCATACTAGATATTCAAAATATAGTATGTAATTTATACTTATAGCACATCTCAAGAAGAACTAGCCATATTTCACATGCTCGATAGCCACGTGTGGCTAGTAGCTACTGTTTTATACAGCACAGCTCTCGAGCATTCGTGACTCTTAAATACCCACTTGCTTTAAGAATTGGCCGAGATAACATGTCTTTTAAAAGATTTGATTACAGAACTTGTAATGAGAGGAGCTGGAATTCAACACTTAAATAGAATCAAAAGAAGAAATAAAATAATATAACTCTATCAGTGGGAGAATTGTGGTTTCCTTTCATACCCATCACACCCCCATGGTGGTGGGTGAAATTTGAGTGAGTTTAGCTTTTCATTCTTATGAAAAGTGGGCCAAGCCAAGGGTCTGTGGCTTCTTGCAAGGTAAGAAGTAAAATGTTTGCTGCCAGAGCAGGGCCAACATTGGCAGAAATGACCATATAGGACGGAAATGGCCATCTACAAATTCAACAACTGCTGTAGAAATTGGGGGAAATTGCAAAGCAGACTATCTATAATAATAAAAGTGTGATATGCTAATTAGACCAGACAGCCAAACGACCTTCCAGATGTCTTCCCGGACAGCCTTCCTGACGAATCTGGGGCTTTGAGGGCCTAAGCAAGCTGCCGAAACTGTGAGGGCCGAGGCAAGCCGCCACAGTTTTTTCATACTAGATATTCAAAATATAGTATGCATTTTACACTGATAGTACATCTCAATGAGAACTAGCCATATTTCACATGCTCAATAGCCACATGTGGCTAGTAGCTACTGTTTTGTACAGCACAGCTCTTGAGCATTCGTCTCTTAAATACCCACTTGGTTTAAGAATTAGGTGAGATAACATGTCTTTTAAAAGATTTTATTACATAACTTGTAATGAGAGGAGCTGGAATTCAACACTTGAATAGAATTGAAAGAAGATAAAATAATATAACTCTATCAGTAGGAGAATTGTGGTTTCCCTTTCATACCCATCACACCCCCATGGTGGTGGGTGAAATTTGAGTGAGTTTAGCTTTTCATTCTTATGAAAAGTGGGCCAATGAGCACTTAATGCCTGACACAAAAAAAGTAATCAGTAGCCTGGCTGGCATGGCTCAGTGGTTGATGGTCGGCCTATGAACCAGGAGGTCACGGTTCAATTCCCAGTCAGGGCACAAGCCCAGATTGTTGGCTTGATCCCCAGTAGGAAGCATTCAGGGGCAACTGATCAATGATTCTGTCTCATCATTGATGTTTCTATCTGTGGCCCCCTCTCCTTCCTCTCTGAAATCAATAAAATTATTTTTAAAAGTAGTCAATAGATGTTTATGAATAAAACCATTTTCATATTAACTTATATAATGTAAAGGTCATGGTTTTGGAGGTACCTAAGTGTGTAAGAATATATGTGTTGAGGATAGTTTAATAAGATGATCTAGTATTTCATATTGCCCAGTTGGTTATCTCCTTAAAACACTACTTAGCTCCTCAAAGCTTGGGGGAAAGGGCAGCCTAATTTCCCATAACATTAGAACATCTGGGGGAAAATTGCGGTCTGGAGAGTGGGGATAGTAGTCTGATCCAAAAAGGATTCTAAGCCCCTTCAGATAACATAAACCAGGAGCCTAAATCTGGTATTCTTATATACATAATTAAATATTGTCAATTCCGTGCTGTAACTTAAAAAAAAAAGTTTCAGTTGTTGAAAAAACAATCTAGACTATAAGCCAATGCTAATTTCTCCTCACCATCAGATTTTCTTTGGAAATGCCCCTAAGTTATAAGCTTTATTTTAATTTGTTATTTGGAGTAGTGACTATTAATTGATGAGTTTGACTCCACCATTAAAA